GTGGGGATGAGCTCGGACAGCTGCTGCAGACTCTGAATGAAGCGGATCTTCCTGCTGAACTTATCGCTGTGGAGAACAGGGTCAAAGGTCACAGGTGAGACAGACCAACTACATCAAGCTAACACAACACATCAGGACCTGGGATAGTTTAACCTGTAAGATTTCTCTCTGAGATTTATCTGTGTAATGACCAGATCCACCACAGGAGGCCGCTCTAACCGAGGGGGAAGACCTGGGGTCCTGTTCTCAGGTCTGAGCTTTAGAAGGTGTTTCTGCTGCAACATCCAACATCTGCACAACATCAAACACTCGTTAAGACACTGAGATGGCGCCTTGTGCTGACCGATGTTTCCACCAGGCGGTGCAGTTCTGTGAGGTTCTGGTTTCACCAGCGTGCACCACAGACTCTTGGAAGAATTCTTCACGATCAAAAGATTAGCGAAGATTAGCGATGCGCTAATCGTCGGCAACAGACATGACAGCCATTTAATCTAACGCCAGTAAATTATTGGGTCTTAAATGTTATGCAGACATCTGCCACCAGATGGTGCATCGTCGTTGGGAAACCTGCTCATCTCCATCTATTATTACTTTATTACATTAATATAACAGGAGGTTCAGTAAAAACGTCTTTCAAGGAGCTGCTCTTTACTTTCTTACTCTGAGTAACTGTCTGTACTTTTTCACTCAAGTTTAAATCCATACTTGAACTTTTACTGCAGTATTTTTTAACACTAGTATATGTACTTCATATTGATGTGGTCAAAGAACAGCATCGTGGTCCGTAAAGCCCAACAGCGACTCTACTTCCTCCTCAAACTGAGGAGAGCGAGAGCAGAGAGAGGATCGTGGGTGCTTCTCTGCCCTCACTCCAGGACATCTGCTGCACCCGCCTCACCCAAAAAGCTCTCTGCATCACAGGTGACTCCGCCCATCTGTCCATCAGGAAGGAGACTGAAGAGCCTCTGAGCCAGAAGACTAAACTCTCTCCCTGCTCTGTCGACCCCGCCCCCCCAAATACAAAACTCTGAACCACCGCCCTTCACTGACTCCCACACTCCCACTTTGAACACTCAGACTGTGTTGGACACTGTTGTGTGTATAAGACGTTTATCTTTTATGTTGTTTAGTGTAACACTGAGGGCTGTGGGAGCCCTGCAGTTTCAGATTCCTGTGTACGATCTGTACATGTGCTTTTGACAATAACTCTTCTCTACTTAAACACTGAATGTCTGGACTTTTCCACCTCTGATCATGAATGTGATAAAGATTTTAAAATGCCTTTGTTGTTAGTTTTTGACATTTTCCATGAAATTGAACTAAACTTCTGAGCATTTCTTACTTTTAGACTTACTGTTAGTCTAATTTCTTTCCCTCATCCCAAGTAAAGACTCATTAGATGCACCGTGAACGTGCACACTGTGATTTATCCAGTGAGCTGCACTTTGACTCCATACAGAGGTTTAGTGACAGAGGCCCTGCTAGATTTC